TTTTCCTCTCGGGATCTTGGGCACGCATGCACATGTGCCAGGCGTGAGTTTAAGCCACAGGGTCTGGGACTCGAACTGTGGTCAACTACATGGGAGTCCAGCAACATAGCCATTAAGCCAACTGCTGGTCCCTAAAGAATGATTTTTTATTTTTAATTTATTTTATTTTTAATTTTGACCAGTTGGACAGAGAAAGAGAGAGAGAGAAAGTGAGAAAGCAAGCTGCCAGGTCCAAGACTTGAACTGCAGTCAGCCATGTTGGAGTTCAGTGCCCTTAACCAGACCACCACCTGCCAGCCCCAAACTTTAATTAATTAATTAATTAATTTTTAATTTGAGCAGAGAGGGACAGAGTGACACAGAGAGGGAAAGTGAGAAAGCAAGAGTCCAGGTTCAGGACTTGAATTGCGTTTGGCCATGTGGGAGTCCAGCCCCCTTAACCACCACTTCACCTGCTGGCCCTAATATTTTTTATTTTTAAGAGAGTCCCTTTTCCTCCATTCTCCTCTCAGGATTTTGGGCATGCACACACACATGCACCTGATGGGAGTTTCAAGCCTTCAGGTCCGGGACTTGAACTGTGGTGAACCATGTGGGAGTCCAGCAACATAACCATTTATGCCATCTGCTGATCTCAGGAAATAAAATTTTTAACTTTTCAAAAACTTCTGTTGAGAAATATATACTACATAGACTACATATTATATACACACATACTTGTGCATGTGCATTTAATTATAAATATCACTAAGAACACCTCTAGCTGATATTCTGCTTATGACAATGAAACATAACCAATGACTTTGAAGTCCTTTGTTTCCATCTCTGATTAAGCACCCTCTTGCTCAAACCCTAATCTGTTAAATAGCTCTTTTCCTCTTACTGTTTTATCATGTCACTCTAAATAAGGTATTTAGCTTTGCCTGGTTTTTGACTTTATACAAAAGGAAAATTACTTTCTGCAATCTGTAAAAACACTGAAAAAATTACTTGTTCTTATTTTCAATTTGCTATAGGGCACATGCATGCGAGAGAGAGAGAAAGCCATCAGTCTGGGACTCAAACTGTGGTAGACTATGCGGAATGGATTCCAGCACCCTAACTACCATGCCACTTTCTGGCCCCTAAAATTCATGATATAGCACTTAAGTAAAAAGCAATGTTAGGGTCCAGTAGACGGCATAATGGTTATGCTGCTGGACTCCCACAGTCAAGAGCAGTTTGAGTCCTGGACCTGGTGCCTTAAATTCACGTCAGGTGTATGTGCACGTGTGCCAGTGACCACAGAGAGGGTGATTTCTCACTTTCTGTCTCTCTGGTGAGCACATGTATCCTATAGCAAAAATCTCTCTAAAAAAAAGGGGAGGGGGGGACCAGCAGTTAGTGTAATGGCTATGTCGCTGGACTCCCACATAGTAGACCGCGGTTCACGTCCTGGACCTGGTTGCTTAAAACTCACGCCGGGCGCATGTGCGTGCGTGCCCAAGATCCCGAGAGGAGAATGGAGGAGAAAGGATTGCGGCATGGCCATCCCTCCTGGGGGCGATTTCTCGCTTTCTGTCTCTCTGTCTCTCTCTGTCTGGCGAGCACATGTGCTCTATAGCAAAAACTTCTTAAAAAAAAAAAGAAAGAAAGAAAGAAAGAAAGAAAGAAAGAAGAAGAAAAGAAACTTCCATAGACTTCTGTCAAGATGGGAACCCCTTATTCTCTAGCCATCCCTAGGATTCTGGGCATACAAGCGTCAGTGCATTTCAGGCCAAATGGGCTGGAGACTCAGGTTGTAGCTGGCATGTAGCTTCTAGCTTCAAAGTGCAATACTCTACTGAGGGAGCTGGCAGGTGGTGCAATGGTTAAGGGCACTAAACTCCCACATGGCCAACTACAGTTCGAGTCCCAGACCTGGTGGCTTGCTTTCTCACCTTCCATCTCTCTCTCTCGTCTTTCACTCTGTCTCTATCTGGTCAAATAGAAATAAAAATAAATAAAATTAAGTAAAATAATTTTTTTTTCGAGATGTTCTTGCTATAGGGTGCGTGCGCTCACCAGAAAGAAAAGACAGAGACAGAGAAACAGAAAGCAAGAAATCACCCTCCAGGGGAATAGCCATGCTGCAATCCCTTCTCCTCCATTCTCCTCTTGGGATCTTGGGCACACACGCACATGTGCCTGGCATGAGTTTTAAGCCACTGGGTCTGGGACTTGAACCACAGTAGACTACACTGGAGTCCAGCGACATAGCCATTATGCCAACTGCTGGTCCTGGGGAACCTACTTTAACATAGGTAATAAGTATTCTTCTGGGAAGGGAAGTAACATTTAAGCTAAGAGCTCCAGAATGGATGAGCTAATCAAATCAAGACCATTCTAGGTCACAGTAATTTTGTGCAAAACTCAGCCCATGGAGTTGGATCCCAGTGATGGGGGGATGACCATACAAAAGGATATTGGTAAGAGAAGTGGGAGCCTTTTATTGAAAGTGAAAGATCGAAGACATAGGATGGGGTGGCAATATGGTACTAAGAGTTCTGATAGAAACAATGATAGGTTAGAGACTTCTACTAGAAATATAAGTAGAAATATCACATAGGCAGTTGGATATATAACTACAGAATTCAGTTAAGAAATTTGGAATAGACCAAAAATTCATCTGTAAATACGTAAAGCCAAGGAAAGCAAACACAGACTTTGTACAGACCAAGTATGGGCCAGGAGATAGTACAGAGCTACTACATGGGAAACGTTGGAGTTTGCATTCCAGGACCTCCCTGAGTCTGACTCCCTGAGAATAGGGGTGGCTTACTGCATGAAGACCTTGTTGGGAGTGCCTCTCTCTCATAGAAAAAATAAGTTAAAAAAAAACCAAAAAACTAAAAACTCAGGGAGAAAGAATTATAAAAAGTAGAAGGAAAAAAACTCTCCTAGATAAAAGTAAAAGACCACTGCTTCTCCTGTACTATAATAGTGACTTTCTTTTCTTGGATTTGTATGCAATAAGAAAGTTGGAACTAGATGATTTATGGGACTCATAAGTCTAAAGTTCTGAAAAAGGCATCCTTCTCACTGTAGGAGCTAACTGTACCTACCCCAACCCCATCCTAAAAGAACACAAATAACACTGGGTAATTTCAGACAAAATAGAAAACATCTCAGGGTATAGTTGGGGACTTTAATCCAAGCCCTCCATTCTCCAGGTGTGAAAACTGAAGTTCCTAGGTCAGATACATTCTGTGCCACAGCAGCGCACAGATGATCTGCCAAGTTCCAAGGTGTACTCGACTATTACTGCTCAACTTATTAAGGCAAATAAAATACCAGGGTAACTGGCCAGAGAAACACAGGAATTTGTCATTTCTAAAGGAAGTGGAAATCTCATCCTTGTCCTTAAAGATCTGGAGAACCAAGTTTATGTAGTACGTACCCTAAGGACCTACCTTGGGGGCATTGTGTCCCACAGGGACGTGAGGTCCCCTTCTAGATTTCATTGCAAAGCGCATGATTTGCCTCTTCACAAAAATAAATAGCAGTACAAACACCTGTACAAAAAAATATGACAAAGAATCTTTAATAAAAACATAGTGTTTAAAAAAAGCATGCCTTCACTTTAATCCTCAGATTCGGGCTCTCGGGAATGCTTGAGGTAAAACTTGGGGGCAGGTAAGCATCTTTAAAGGCCATCAAGGACGAGCGGAGGACCCAGGAGAGCCAGTGTCAGGAAGCGTAGGGTCTGTGCCCTAGGGTTCAGAGGGAGGGTTCTCAGCCAGGGGCGGGTCGGTCTGGGTCTGTGACTTAAGTTCCCAGGTACTCCTGGGACAGGTGTCAAAGCCCATAAAAAGCACAGGTGAGTGGGTGGAGAACGAAGACAGGGAACAGCTCGAAACAAGGGTCTCTACAGGGTCGGACGAACAGCGGAAATGGGATGGGGATCTCCTCACCAGGCTCCCGTAGGCCATCACCAGCACGACATTCACCCCAGACAGCCAGTTACTGCCGGACGCCATGGCCTCCCTACCGCGCGCAGAACTGCTTGGGTTTATCTCGCTGCCCTGCCTCGTCGGCCCAGACTCCGCCGAAGCAACGGCGCCAGGGTTCCCTGGAGCTCCCCGGCCATTTCCTTACGAGGGAAGAACAAGCCAGACCCGGCCCCAAAACATGGCGGATGGGGGTGCAGGGAAAGGAGAACGACGTCTTCCCACTTCCCCTCGACACGTGACTCGGGCAGGCAATGGCACCCGCCAGCGGCGAGTGCGGAGAAGCAGAACTACGCTAGTAAGAGGAAGCGGCGGCCATCCGTGCGTCACGTGGTGGAGGCGGGGCCGCCCTGAAGGAGGCGGGGCGGACGCACGGAGGCGGCGTGAGGTGTCTCGTGGCGGGGCGGCGCGCGCACGCTTGCGTGCGCGTCCCTCTTCGCGTCACGTGCCAAGGGACGCAGGAAGGCAAGTGGGAGGGGGAAGGCGCGAGAGCGAGCGCGAGAGGGAAAAGGAGGGAGGGGGTGGGGAGGAGGGAAGCTTATAT